TGCATGTGGGGTGTGTGGTGAGGTGTGTGTGTGTAGTAGTGTGCTGTGCTCCTCCCCAGAGGTACATGGCGGTGTGTGGGGGGAGGCTGTGGGTGGGTGCAGTGTTTGTGGCATGTGTGATTTGTGTGTGGGGGGGTGTGGTTGTGGAGTTTGAGGGAAAGGTTTGTGGTATGGTGGGGTATACATGGGACCTCTGTAGGTGCCTCTCTGAGCCATGGTGACCCATCAGCACCTCCCCTTCCCCACAACAGCTCGAAGCCTGTGTACCCTCAGGCACACCCCCACCACTGCCAACAGCGTGAAGCCCCAGTATATCACGCACTTGCTTTGGACTCGGCCCACTCCACACCACCTGGTTGTAGTACATCCTGCCTCCCCTCCTGCACACTGCGGGGCTGGGCCGGTCCCACAGCGGGACTCCCTTTCTAGGCATCAGTGACTCCTTCTGGGCCAGGTGGAACCGAGGGACCCATTGCAGGCTGGACAAAGACTTGCCACAGGCTGGATCCAGCCCATGGGCTGTATTTTGCCCACCCCTGGGTTAGCCCTTTGAGTTGACCCAAAGTTTTTTTTGTGCAATACTGTCATGTTAGTAGACATTTCCACTCGCTTTTGAGATCCAGTAAGCCATTTTGACATAAGCGAATAGAATAGATAGAATAGAAGTGTGTTTTCAACCATTTGTTCAGATTGTAAAGACTTTTAATTGTTGCTTAAGAAATATTGATGAACTTTTATATCTGTCTGATTCTCAGTGGCTTTTTCATACGTTAGCTTTCATTCACTTATCACCTTCTGGTTAGATGACCATAGCAATCTGCTTAGTAATTTTTCAGACACAGTAATTACTGAGTATCAGTGGAAAGGTTGCCAATTACTTAAGCTCTGTTTTGCAAGCAGGTTCATGCAGGTGTTCCAGCTTGCAGAATCAAGTCCTTGTATTAACATTTCTTGGGGCAGGGACTACCTCTGATAGCACTATAACTAAACGGCTGTTATTGCCCACTTTGTGGTTACTAACAGTAATTGTTTTTATGCAGTGCAGGGTTTTTTTCTGTTATGATATCAGTATTGTTATCTGGTGAAAGAAAAAATAATATAGCATTTTGCTTGTGTTATAGGACAAGATCTTTTTGTTACAGGTCAATCCTGGATGTATGCCACCTCTTTAGTCCTAGTAATTAGTGGGTTGTATGATACAGTATTTGGTTAATATTACAAACAAAACTTGATTTTTTTGACACTGAGTTTTTAAATACATATTGCATGTTTTGATGATACTTTTTCATAAATATTTTACAAGTGGATAAAAACACTTCAAACATTTATAGCTCATTTAGTTTTAAAATTTCTGTACATAGTAACATGTAATTCCCATCAGTGGTAGGAAAGTAAGGCCTCTCTAAGAACTGTAATGGGGAAAGGAATCATTTTCAAAGATGATCTCTATAAATTATAAGAGATTATTGGAAAGTGTTTATGAAATTAGGTGGCTCAGTCATGAGATAAATGGGACATCCTTTTTACTATGTGCTGCTTTGTTTTGCCTTAATCTCATAGTAAAGAGATGTATAATTTTTTTCTCTGCAAACTAGTGGGGATTTGTATTTGCTTGCACCTACAGAAAAATGTGAGAGAAGGGATGAAAATGACATGTGTAGACAATGCCAGATTTGCAAAGCTCTTGCCACAAATATACAGTTTTATAGAAGGTCTTGCAAGCTGTATTAGCAAGATTCCTACACATTATCTGATGCCACTATAACCGTTTTCCCCCTCCTTCCATTTCTTGCTATCTTCCAATTACTTTGTAGCAACATAGTCGTACAGACATACATACCAAAAATGGCTTAGGGTTAGTAAATGCTTTGCTGGGTTTGTCTAGAAAGATTCAACTAGTTCAGAAGAAGTATCTAGCAGAGGCACAACTATACCCAGGGCCCACTACCTCTATCGTTTGAATCAGGAGGCTTCGGCATACAGGAGAAGCCACAAGCAGTGACTGGGAATTGAAGTCCTCTAGAGTAGAACTGAGTTTTCCTGCTGAATTCCCCCTTCCCTTTTTGCCCGAGTTGCTCATGGTAAACAGGAAAAAAAAACCCTCCTGATTTTGGTGGTGGAAAAAATGGGGGTGAACCCCCCCCTTCCACTGCGCTCCCTGCCAGCAGCAACAAACTCCACTGTTACTCTAGAGAACTACAATTACTAGAGTGCCTTGCACTCTGTAACACTATTCTGCCAAAAAGTGCAGGCAGAGCAGGAGGTGGCTCCTCCACAGTCAGTTCTGGTATTCCCTCTCTCTGCTCCCCTTGCCCTTTTTGCCACTGCTGTGAAGGACTTTTATCTATACATACACTTTTTTTCTTCCTTATGAGATTTACATACATCTTCAGTACACCTGTCTGGGCAGAAGTGTCACATTTTGTATGGCACTTGTTCCTAATCCTGCCTATGAGATGCTACCAAATAATAACCTAGGCAGTTTAAAGTACTCATTGTAGAAATGGTTAATTCTTCTGATGAGAATTAATGGCAGTTTCAGTTGGAGTATCCTGTTTCCTATGGATTGTGTGGTGTTGAGAAGAATCCATTGAGATGTCTATTCTCCTCTCTTGAGCAATCCTCAAAGATAAATCCTTCCATATTTCAGCTTAAAAAAAAAAAAAAAAAAGTATATATTTCACAGTGCAGAGGAAGCTGCGCACATCTTGCTGGAAAGTAACTTAAAGGGCTTCTAACAATGAACCAGAATTGTGAACAGCTGCCAGGAGATGCTTGGGAGCCATGTATTATGCTTCAACCTCTGTCCCAAAATTCTGAAAGCACTGCCAAATGTTCAGATTTGTTGTTTAATGGTGCTTGTAGCTGTTCACTTCTATTTAGCCCCAAAATGACTTCTCTTTTCAGAAACTGTGTTGGAACACATGAGCAGATGTAAAAATAGGCCTGAAAAGAGTGCATCTGCCTTTTTGGTGCATGTAGCAGGCATTTAGAAAAGAAACTGCAATACATAAACATATTTTAATGTCTACTGCCTTGGTATTTCTGTCATTCCTGCCAGGGAGCTTGCATGTTTTGGGTGCAAGATGATATAAAAAAAAATAGAACTAATGTAACAGATCAGTTGAAATTCAGTTAAACCCATCTCATCTCTTCTGAAGGGAAGAGGAGAATTGTTCTAAAAGGAATATAAAATTTCAAACTTTTAATTTAATTTTAAAATTTTCAAAATTCCATTTGGTGGAAAAAATTTTAAAAGTCCTTGTGTCAGAACATTGTTAAATCAAATATTCCATGTTGATGTTATTCTTTAAAGATTTAATTGTATATAAATTCTGTTTGAAAAGAAAATTTAAAATAAGTCAAAGGAATTTATTTTTAAAAATTCATAATAGAATTTTTGCTCTTAGTGACTTTTTTTTACTTCTAATTAATTTTTATCCAAATCGATACCATTTTGTGACATTTAGAGGTAGAGACCTTTTTTCATTAAAATAAAGTTCAATAGGAGATGTCCAATCTAGTCTATTTACAAATGAGCAGCAAATTCAGCAGTACATTCTTCCCAATGTGGAAAAGATAATTAGGTAATTTAACAATTTAAAATAATCAACACTTTTGCTTTGAAGCTTTTTTTTGTCTTTGAAGCTGCCTTCTAGGAGCTAAAATTTAGGAAGCGTAAACAGAATGAAGATTATAGACTGTTTTAAACACCACTGTAATGAGGTACGGAGAAATGTCTCCTGGTAAGCGGGTGAACTAAGAGACTCGGTCATGTATCCTTCCATAGTTGATCAGGTACTTGAGAAGTTTCTCCCACCCTTTTGGATCTATAAAGCCTCATCTGTAGTCCCTGCTTGGGTGTGGGAATGCAAATGGGGAAAGGTAACTAGTTCAGGTGCCTGAGCTTCCTAACAGGGAACTAATTCTCTTTTGTGCCTCTCCTATTCGAGTATGAGAAGAGAATGAATCTCCTTCAGTTCCTGGATCTCACGGAGAAAACACAAGAGGAGGACATGATAAGTCCTGAATTGTTGAGAGTGAGGTCCTTATCAGCTGCATCTCAAAGGAGAGTATGCTGCAGGAGTAGATCAAGAAGGGCACAGATGAACTAAAACTACAGTCACAGTCCCTTCCCAAACCCTGGAGCATAGTCTATAGCTTCTGTTCTATCTTCTGTAAGAAATTCTGTTTACACAATTATCATTAAATTGCTGAAGAATTATGGCATTATAATATTATGTAGTATATTTGACACATCAGGTGCAGTGATGTCTTATTTCAAATGCTACCTTGAGCTCTTGAATTTGTTTGCTTTTATTCATCTTTCATGAGATATACTGTACTGCTTTTAGTAAAGTGATGACAGCTTTTATATCTTTTTTCCCCTTATGACTCTTACAAAATATTTTCAAACTTTGCAGAACATTATACATCCACGGTCATACAAAGTTGGATTTCACGGTCTGGCATACTGCAATTGAAAAAGCAGCAGGTACAGATGGTAATGCATTACAAGATCAGCAGCTCAGCAAAAATGACGTTCCCATTATAGTGAACAGCTGTATAGCATTTGTTACACAGTATGGTAAGTATAGCAGAGTTTTTATTCAACTCGTTGAACTCATAGGATTGTTCATATAATACTTAAGAAGCATCACTATCAGATTGCATTGAATGTGTTTTTGTATGTCTGTACATAAAACCATGTTCTTTATTAACCCCATTGCTGTTGCTAGAGGGTGCTTTTTGTGGCAGCAAGTTTTGATGGGTTTAGAAATGTACATTGCAATGTGTTTAAGTGGAGTTTAAGAAAATGAATCCTGAAAATGGCTGTTACTACACTGATCCCTTTTATATTTTTAAGTTTGGAGTTTTTGTTGCTTTGTTTTTGAAGTCATAGTATGGGCCTCACATGACAGAAAATTCAAAATACAATCTGACTACAACCTTTACTCCACCAGGAGACAGCCATATAAGCTCAGAAAGAGAGCAAGGCCCACTAAGCAAAGAATAGGATGGAACCGTTAAGCATACCTTCTGGGATATCTCCAAAAATGTGTGTTTCCTTCTGCTCCTTCACAAACTACTCATTCTTCCACCACTTTAAGTAATCTGGAAAAGTGGTTGCAGAAGGAGATTCCTTTGTCAGTCGAAGGATGGCAGTGGTACTATGCTGCTGCCTGTCCCCCACATTTAAGTAAATTTCTCCAGGACTGTTTCCCTTAAAGTTATACTTTTGAAAATTAATTAAGTTTTTTTTTAATCATGAAACAGAGTATATATATCAACCTTCTAAAAATACACTTTCAGGAAGATACAATGCCTGTGGCTTCTTTTAGCATGAAAATGTTTTTTCTATATTTTATTTCTGGCAGTTTGTTTAATTTGAATCATTTTTAGTAGAGCCAACTATATCGTGGTAAGTCCTTGTGTTCCATTGTGGTACTCTTCCATGAAAACATGCAAGCATGAAAGCATGTTTGCATAAGTACTTTCAATTCATTAGGAAACTGAGGATTTTTTAAAATATATAAATAGAACTTGCAGTCTTCCAAGTACCTTAAAATGTTTTTATAAGCTTAAAAATTACTAAAGCAAGGAAAATGTGGTTAATGATGGGGGAATATTTAAGCCAAAGCATCTTTAACCTTTTCTTTTAAGTGGTATTGTATTTGAATATTGGATAAATAGCTTATTTACCTAAAATACATATTTTTGCTGATATAATGATGAAAAAAATATCCTTAAAGTCTAGATAAGGTTTTAAGGTGAGAACAAATTGACAGGTCCTATATCACTCTTCCTTCCTTTTCCCGGAATTTAACAACACAGGCCCATTTTCAAACAGTAGTGTTTGTAGGCATCACAGGAGATGTGGGTTGAAGGAGAGTACAAGATAGTGATTTTCACTAATTTTGACAGAATTCCTCCTCCCGTTCCCTTCCCCACCACACACATTCCTCTAACATGTTTAAAAGATAGCATGGAACAAAATGCAGATGAAACTAGGAGCAAGTATGAGCTACTTGGCAGCTGAGCAGCTTTTGCTGGCAGAATTTTAAAAAAAGAAACAAGTGAAAAAACCAGCTTCTACAAAAAGAGACATTGAAACTGACTACATGTGCAGTTGTGTTGTCAAATGCATATAATTAACAGACATTTATAAAGCTTTATTTTATTACTTGCTTCTTTCAGTAGCAGTAACTGGAAGTGGTGTTTCATACAGGTACATTATTTCCAGGGTTGTTATTCTCCAAATTGGCAGTGTCTCTTTAATTTTTCAGTCCGCCTATAGGGATGGTAGAATTGCCAATCTCTTGCTTATGGTGCCAGATTTTGGAACTTACTTTTCTCCTTTTTTAAGTGGGTATTAGTAGTGTTACTGTAAAGGCTTTAACCATGAAATATCCTAGAATGAATGCACACATGCTTAAGTCCTGAAGGCTGGTTGAATTTATTCGTTGGAGGGACAGAAGAGGTATTTTACATAAGGAAAAAAATCACCTTTTGTCCTTATTGACAGTATCACAATTATAAGGCCTTCTTTCCTTTACCAACTTTATTTTCACATGACTTTAAGAAACCTGGAAGTGAGTGTTGGAATTTTAACCTTTTCTTGAAGCCATGATCATAGAACAGCTTTGTGACAGGGGGCTATCTTAGGGCCAGGTCCCATGACTGCCTGCCCACCTAGCTAAGTAAAGCAGTCCGCCCAGTTTCACCTGCCATAACTTGCTGTTTCTTAAACTGCTGTAAAATGCGTGAGGCTGCCTGTTTTAATGCCTCAGTGCCAGGGGGTGCTATACATGGCTCTGTACTGTCCCTACACCATGGCCCATGCCTCACAGATGGCATTTAGTTTATTATTGCACCCCAGCTTCAGGCCAGGGCAAACTCAATCCCCTGTTGGGCCTCTCGCACACTGCCTCTTCCAGGGCCACAATCATACTGCCCCCCTGTCACTGGGACATCTTCCACTCTGCCCTCTCTCACAGGGCCTCTTGCATGGTCCCTCTCACTGGGCCACTCAATCTGTCATGCTCCCTTGAGCCACCTGGTTGGCCCATCAGACTTAACTACTCATGCTGGCACTGCACACACAGCCCTTCAGCTTGCTCACACTCCCCTACTCTACGTGGCATTAGCCTTGTGCCTAATACTGGGTTGATTCTGCCCCTGTCCCCTCGCTGGGCAACTTTCCACCATCACATACTCATGGAGGTTGGCCCGTGTATTGCCCTTCAGCCCTGCTCAACACCATCCCTGGTGCAACCCTTGAGACCATCCTTCAGTCCTATGCTACACCTTGCTTATGCACAGTCCTTCAGGTCATGACAATGCCCCCTACTCTGTGTGGGCCCACCATACATTACTGCCCCACTCTGGGGCCACTCTCCTGCCCTCTCTCTGGGCCATGCTACGGCTTCCTCCCTGGGGCCTCCGGGGTCTTACATGGGTCTGGCCCCCATGCCTGTCCCTAAGTCTGGGTGACCCACCAGGATGTGGGGGCTGGTTTTAAGGTGCCCCTCCCCACCTCTCGCTGGGGAGGCAACTGGCCTGGCATTTCTGGGGAGCTCCCCTGCCATGGGTAGCCCCACCAGACCATCATTCTCCAGCAGGGTGCAGTTTCAAATCATACCCAGGACAAGGAGCCTCCTGCCATCCCAACAGCTCTTTCCCTTACCCCCCAAGGATGTTCCAAGCAATAGCTCAGCCGAGTGTTGTTGCTCCCCAGCTGCCAGCAGCAGACTGCTGCCTCAGGTCTGGGGCCCTAGATCTAAAATGGCCGCCTCATCAGGGCTAGCCCACACCTGTCGGCTCCCTGTTCTCAGCCTTAAAGTGGCAGGCACCCAAAAGTGCCCTGCCACAAGCTTGACTTCAGTACAAAAGAACTAGGAATGGGGAGTCTGTTAGCTGTAACTAGGTTTGGTGGTGATTACACCCGTACATAGAGGAAAGCAGAGAACTTCCTGTGGAAAATCAAAGCTGGATAGCATCTGTGCTGACACTTTTGGAAATTTTTTTTTAAGGGGAAACAAAGGAAACATCTACAAAAACAAACAGTGAAACAGTGCTAATTGCATAATGTTTTGATATTAAAAAAAATTACATCTTCTTCCTCCCAATGTTCTTGTTTTCAAGGTTTAGGTAGAAGGCACATCTACCTAAAGGATGGCAATCCTTCCAGTGTGAGTGAACTGCTAGAGAGCTTCAAAAAAGATGCAAGAAGTGTTAAATTGAGGACTGGAACACATCAGCTGGAAGATGTGACTGATGTGCTGAAAAGTTTTCTGTCTAAAATAGATGATGCACTTCTCACTAAAGAGCTATATCCATTCTGGATCTCTGCTCTAGGTAATAAATTCAGTATTTTTTGTGCAATAAATTTATTATTTATAAATTGTAAATGAACTTTTAACATAAAAAATAGAAATAACATACATTTACATTATATGAAGTCCAATTTTTTAATATGTATCTGTATACAGTAAGCATTTGATTATTGAATAATCAATAAAAGTATTGTATACATTGTTGCAAAAAATTACTTTGAGATATTGGGTGAAATTCCAGTGTATTGAAGCCACTGACTTCAGTGACTATAAGAATCTTCCCAGAACTGTAAGGTAATATTCTTTGTCTGCTGGTGTTATATACCTGCAAGCAGTAGGCTAACCTTGTACTATGTTGCAGTCAGATCTTCTAAGCAAGACAGGCATGATGAATGCTTGAATGTAGGACTGTCAGTGCTGGAGGATGGCTTTCTTCCCTCGAACATGTAGTTAATAAATCTAGTAGGCAAGTATATAAAGTGGGGGTAGTCATTTTGCTTGGCATGCGCACCTTGAGTGGGTGGTGGGAAAGGGCCTGGGGCTTCACTGCCACAGTAAGGATCAGGCCCCTGGTGCCATCTGCCATCTGCCCTTGGCATGCCAACAACTTACAAAGTTATGGGTGTTTTTGGCACTCTGCATTGCTGACCCCTGATATCAGTTTTGAAGTCCCATTATGCTAAAGAAACAATTAGGGAAACAGGAAAAGAGGAGTAAGAAATTTATATCAATATTTTATTATTAGCCATGTGCTTAGCTGATATAGTGTCCTCTGGCATGCATTATATTTCTGGCATGGTTAACTTGTTATGAATAAATAGCAACGTACCACATGTTGATCACATTTATGGTGCCATAAAATGGTAAATCAACCACAAAGAGATTACTCAGAAACTTTGTAACATCTTTGTGGCTGACTTATATGGCACTATAAATTGAACACATGACATTACCTCATCATACTGACAGCCAGCTGATTGTCAGCATTGGCATCTTGGCAGCCCTAGGTCTACGACCTGGCTGGGGGCTGCCCCTTGTCCTGACACTAACAATCAGCTGATTGTCTATATCAGGATGCAGGCTTACCAGGACCCAGCACCTTAAAGAACCTTTTTTCTGCAGCCCTTTAAGGTTTGTTGTGGTGCTGGGTCCCAGTGAGCCTCAGAGCATGAAGCAGTTCTGGAATCTCGGGGACAGCCCTCAACTCCATGTTTGATCTTTAGTGCAGACAGAGGGCAGCCCTCAGTCCAAACTGGGCCTCTAATTGCTCAGTGCTAAATCTCAACACTCATCTGAGTGTAGAGGCCTGGCACTGGAAAGCCCTGGGGTCCAGCACAAAGCTACCCCCTGCCCAGTTGGTGAGATAAGCATGGGATAAACCCTAGGTCCAGAACCCTGTTTTATTTCTAGAGGATGTGCAGCTGAGGATAAAGAGCTTCTCCCATCCCCAGTTGCACATGCTGGTTTAAAGAAACTGTCAAGTGGTGAAGGATATCTGTGCATTCAGTAGATTCACCTGATATGTGCAGAGGTGGATGGTATTACATCCAATAATGTTATTTTGGGCCTTGTACCAGGTGTTGATTCTGAGACTAAGTCGGGTTGCTTGTGAGTGCAGCCCAAAGTGGGTGGTAAACTCCATCTAAGGCTAAATACCAACTTAAAACTCATGTTAAGCAAATTAAGAGAAGAAAAACCCAGGCTTATTGGCCTCTGGATCCCAACAATGGAGAAAGGCTCCTCAATCCCCTGCTGCACTCACCCATTTAAAAGAATTGTCTGTTCCTAGCAGCTGTATATGGGGGAGCTCTCCCCATTGCTAGTGCTGGGTGGCTCTTTAAACGAGCACTGTGTGATGGAAAATGGAGGACCTCCCCATCCCCAACTGCACCATGAAGAGAACTGAGAATCTAATATTGGGCAGACTCTCCTTGATGCCAGGCTTATGGTGCTTAACACTTGGGAAAAGCCCTCTGATACTGGGCTTATAGTAGTCTGGACCTTTATAAAATAGGTATGCAGTTTGGAGCTCCAGCTTCTTTATGTTTCTGGGTGCCACTGGAAGCAGCACTCCAGGGAGTGAGGAGCTCCTTGCTCCCCAGCTGCTGCTTTCATGTATGTGGGGAGGAGGATGCCTCCTGCTCCCCAGCTGCAGGTGCTGCCCCTCCCCTGGCTGGTAACAAGCAGTCATGCAATAGGGGTTTGAGGGATTTTATGCTCCAGAATTGTGTAACCTGACATGATAGGTCACATGATTTGGGGAATGGAGCATAAAATTCCTCAGCTCCAATCACATAATTATTAATATTTGTCAGCAGCCATAGAGTAGTATGCTGTATTTTTAGTGCACAGGATTGCTGAAAGAGAGAGTGTCTATCATCATCTGGAGAGAACTGACATTTTTAAAAATTAGACTTTGGGAATATGTTTAGAAGATGAGAATTAAAACATGATTAAATCACTGATTTAGTTCCTACCCCTGACAGGATAGTCAGTATGTTTGGCCTGTTGGCAAAATGCAGCAAGTCAAGTTAGATTCAAGGGGGAAGAGAAGGGTTTGCAATGTATGAGACACTGACTAGTGCTTCTGTTACTAGCTTTGTCTGTCACTGACTACCTCTGTTGTCTTGAGAAATTAATTGACCAACCAATACACCTCCATTTTTTCTTCCACTGCTTCAGACTGTACTCTCTTTATGGCATGAAGTTACTACTTTGATGAAAAATAATAAAGGAGAAAAATATTGTTCTTCTGCAGCTAAAGGAATTTTGCAAGATGTGTTGCATTTGGGCACGCACCCATACTCTATGCATCCCTTGAGCAGATAATCAATTTGCTTGTAATAAAAAAAAAAAAAAGACTAACTCCTGTATCTAAGCCCTATTAGCAATTTTTTTTTTTTTTTTTAAAAAAAAAAAAAAAAAGACTAACTCCTGTATCTAAGCCCTATTAGCAATTTTTTTTTTTTTTTTTAAAAAAAAAAAAAAAAAAAAAAAAAAAATTGCAAATAGTGCTTAGATACAGTAGTTAGTCTTATTTTAGTTTATATTGTTTCCCCAAATGCTGCAAAATAGACTGCATTCATAGGAAATTATCAATATTGTCTCTCTGAAGAACAGGCTGATTGGTTGAATTGTAATTTTAAATGACTAGATGTTGCCAAAGTAGCAGATCAATATTGCTCTTGTTTTTTGGATCTGATTTGTGATTAATGCCCCTCTATTTCCTCCCCATTAGATACGCAGAATGAAAAGGAACGAATAAGAAAGTATGGAGCTTTTATTCAGACGCTTCCACCAGTCAATAGGGCTACTTTGGCAGCTTTAATTGAACATCTGTATAGGTCAGTGTGTTGGCAAATTGAGTCAATTTTTGTATTTGTTGCCATGGTTAATTATATAGACTCATGTGTTGAATTTCTGTTAATTTGTAGTGCACAAAATACAGTTTGTCTCTTATTTCAGTTGTAATAATTTGTGTAAAATAGATTTTAAGGAACAGTCATGTACTGGCAGGACTCATGTCAAGCCTTTTGACTTTTTGGGTGGGCCCATTCTAACTGAATTTGTCATTGCACACAGAAATGTGGATTGCCTTCTTGAGTTAATATCTGTTATGGCTCTAGTATTTAGCTATCCTAGTTATGTTTTGTTACTTTAATAATTTTACAAGCCTAGTAGGCATGGAGAGTATTTAACATGCAGATTTGTGTACGTAGCAAAATCCATCTCTTATTTCAAGCTGTAAAGTTTGCATCAGAATTGTGTAACTTGGATGCCACTGCAAAATCCCAGTTGATTTAAATAGGTCATTATTACTCATAGTCATTTTGTTTGTTTGTGTGATTTTGTTTCAGCTTTCTTAGTGTCAGCTGAACAAGTTCTACAAATATACCTTGTTTACCTAAAATATCTCTCAGAAGCAGGGGATCCAGAAATCTTGCTTCAATACCTTTTTTCTGGGTTTAGGATTAAAAATAAAACTATTCTTTAAAATTATCACATATATAAATATATGAATGTAATCATTTACATGTTCTTCTCCACTGTTAAGTATATAGCAACTAATACAAATAATGGGAAAATTGGAAAAGTGAGTTTTTAATGCACATACTGGTCTAAATTCTGTTTTCAAGTAGGCCCATAAATCTAAATTAATTTGGATTTAAATTGGTGTAACAGTCAAAAATAGACCCCTTTTTAAAGAGGTGGTTGATTTTTAAAGAAGTTAATCACATCTCTACTCTCCGTTCCTAAATTTCCAATGGTCACTTATGCAGCTCTCAAAACATAGTAAGATACTACCTAATAATATCTGATTTGTTTGTGTATAAGCATATGAAATCAGATGTATCATTTCATTTTATAAAAATATTTTGTTGGAAACAACTGTGCTGTTGTAAATGTGCACACTAACATAGAGTTAAGCCTTGCCACTTTCAACAATGGGAGTGTTCTAAGTAAATTTATTCTCCTTTAAACAGGGTGCAAAAATGTTCAGAAATTAATCATATGAACCCTCACAATCTAGCCACAGCATTTTCATCTTGCTTATTTCAAACTAAAGGACGGACTGGAGAAGAAGTCAATGTAATTGAAGATCTGATTAAAAATTATGTGCAAATCTTTAATGTAAGTATGTTTTATATAATGTTGTGACTTAATTGTGAAAGTTAGAAGATGCGTGAGAATCTCTTTGCATTTCATGTGATCTTTAGCTTTGTGCTAGAGGCGTAGCTGGACAGCTCTGTGCTGTGGTCAGCTGTGCAACACCTGGGGTAGTCCTGATTGCCGTGGTGCTGATCTCAGCAGTGTGATCAGCCACTGTTGCGGTTGCAACTATTTTTGCGCCCCCTTCCTTTCCCTTAGTCCCCTCTCCCTCAGAGAGGTAGAGCCCAGGGTGTTGTCCTGCTACACCTAGTTATGCTATGCTTTATGCCATTATGTTCCCTTCACTAGTCTCTCTCTTGTCTAATGTTAGTTATTCTGGCTCACAATTTGCAGAGTTATTAAACTCTTTTAATCAGTGATCATTGTTTTTTATGTTGCTTTTTTTAAATGTTAATTCTCAGCTAGTACAGGCTAGGTAGAAAGTGTTATGTTTATAGAATTGCCATAAATCGCTGTTATTTTATGAAAGAAAGAATATGTATAGCTTTTCACATTGGCACAAAAATGACTTGTTGTTGTTGGGGGTTTTTTTTTGCAAATTCCAATCAGTGTCAACTTTTAATAATGAATATAATATGCCCAACCCCACCCCACATTTTGTGGCCCTTGCAAGAACTGAAGTATGAAAAAAATGTATCTTAGACTCTTATCTCTAAATAATGAGCATATTTGAGAAATAATGTTGTATTTCATAACTCTTGGCTGGGCCCCTGAATTCAGCTGGATGGAATCATTACTTGGGGATACTAATTGCTGTGACCCCCTAACCAACAGTTCTATGATTTGACTCCTTTTAGACTTGCATTTAGTAATGTTTATAGTATTTCATACTATATGTTGGGAAAAGTATCAGACTGGTTAAAAACAATGTACAATCCCTCCTGTGAGGAAATTCCATTTCTACTCTTGTTAATAACCATAAAGAATTTATCAAGGACAATAAAGTATTATATTATTTTCCCTTTTAACTTACCAAAATGATCTGTTTTAAACAGATAAATGAAGACCAGATCAAACAAATGGATATAGAGAACAGCTTTATTACCAAGTGGAAAGACACACAAGTAAGTGGTGAAAATTGATGTGGGAAGGCTTTTAACAAAAATAAATAAATAAATGCTCCATTGTCGTTTAGCAGATTTGGATGGCTTTATGGTGATTTATAGAGTTTGCCTTTTTCACAAAGAACATAAGACTAAAGCAAAATAAATCTGTCAGTACAGAGTTGTTCCCATGAAATTATGATCTGATGTGCATGTAGGAAAAATGTATATTTATCTGTTCCTCTTGCTCACATTTTAACTTTGAATGTTTTTACCTCTAAGCATTTTATAAACTGTAGGAACCAGCAGTAAATATTGAGAAAACATTTTAACCTAATGCCTTCACTATACTATTTTCAGCAAGTATCAGATTGATAAAATATGGCTAACCAAAAACTGTAAATGTTTATGCATTAATACTTATTTTAAATCACAAAATTGGTTATTAACTACCATGTTTACATGAATATAAAATAGCCTTCAATAATTAGATTCTATGTACAGGGAAATGTATACATTTGTTATAATTTTCCAGGTGCAGAATCTAATTATCAGAGGATTGTCTTGAAGTCATCCCCCTCCCACTGCTACAGCAAGCTGGTGGAGTTGCATTGCTGGGGAGGGTCAGGTGGCCCCCTTGCCCTCTGCTTCCCCCTCACTTCTTCCTCCTTCAGGCTTCCTGCTCCCCATAGTGTCAGACAGTGTTCAGGCTCTGTTCCTTTCTCCAGCAGAACATGTAAGGAACTGAGCTGTCACAGTAAAGGAGAGAAAGGGACAGAGGGAAGGGGAGAAGCTGCAAAGGGCGAGCAGCTTGGTGAAAGGAGACTGCTGTGGGTCCCACTCAAGGCCAGGGTCAGAACTGCAGCAGTTGCTTTCTACCTCCACCCACCTTGTTAATTTGAAGAGACCAGAAAAACACTGACTTCGCAATAAACATACCCATAACAATTTGCATTATATGCAAATTACTGTGGGTAAATTCATCCAGAATTGATGAATTTTAACTTTTTGCAGACTACTGTGGTTTTAGCACAGGTACTCCATAAACACACTTTGGAGCAGAACTTTTGTACCTGCTTATACATAGTACAAATTATGTATCATTAGTCCAGAGCCAAAAGGTTCATAACTTATCTTATAGTTTCTTGGGCTATGCCCTAACAAAGTCCACAACATTTCAAGTAAAAATGACCGTACAGCCCAGCCCTGCTCAGTACATGTCTATACTCCAGATACCACCCACAAAGGAGCCATGCGTTAATTAGCTCCCCGCTCATAACTGGAACTGGCTGTTCTTGTCACAAGTCCTGGGATCCTCCAAAAATTTATATACAGATGTAACACAGGGCTACCTGGTCTATCACCACCCCATAGAGGGCAAGGCCCCACTAATCACATGTAACAGGCCAAGAAAGGAGGCATCAGTCCCTCAGCTATGTAGAAGTTTGGTTATGTTTGCAGACTCATGAAGGCTCAGGATGAAATAGGAATCATTGAAAATGGAAAAGAAAGGCACTGCTCAGCTGTGGGAGTAAAGAGGAAGTCAAAGTATATTTGATGTAGTGGTTCACCATAACTTTAAAAAGAGTTGGTGCTGAGGAGGTCTGAGCACAATGGGTATCATCATCTCTGTCTCTCTCTCTCTCTCATATATATCAGTGTGATTGCCCAGTGTGTTGGCTATATTTAGTTAGTTGGTTCCCATGACTGAGCTTATGTAGCAGTTCAGTAGTAATGTATTGATGGGAGGGGCAGGGAGGAGGAAGGGATGCTGGCATGCATATATCAGGTGAGGGGCTTTTTTCCCCTATGCTGATGGAGGTCGGGGAGAGGACTTGTGTTATATTTGAGTAAAATGGTATTTAAATTCCCCACTCAGAAGAATTACTGTCCAATCCTCTGCCTCAAAAAAGAATCTATGCAAGTAGAGAGAATTTTTTTTGGTCTATCTTGAGACTAGAGGGATTAGTGAATTCTAGAGTATGAAATACATCACTGAAAATATTCAGTGACTAGCTTCCAGACATGCTTCTGGATCTGTCTGTCCATCCTTCTGACAAAGTATTTAGTAGAATTCACAGATTCATTGGAATCTGACAGTCCGTGCCTTGAGTGTTTCTGCTTTGGACTCAAACGTCTGACCTCTGGGCTGCTAAATGTGCACCTTAGTGCCCACACAACCCCAACCTCCATGGTTTTGAGTGCTGAGATAATAAAAGTGTGGTTTTAAGTACTGGCATAGAATGTAAGAAAAAGGGATCTTTATTAAAAGGAGATCTCAAATCATAAAGCACAATAATTTTAAAATATACCTTGACTTGCCTTCTGAAGTTATTCCAAAGCCATCAGGGGTTATATGCTTGCTTAGCAGGACAGTACAGAGGAGTGAGCAGTAATTTCTACACTAACTGGAATTTGAGTGACATTTGGTTGTATACCAATTAGAGCACATGGCAGTGACTCCCCAGGACAGGGGAATGGAACGGACTCACGGTAAAGTTGAAAATGGAACTTTAGGTTATGACTTGAATGGGCAGATGAATTAAGCAGGGCAGAAGGAAGTTTACAGAGCTTGTGAGTTCTGTCAGGAATCTGAAATAAGGCTGGGGGAAAACCCAAGGAAGTTTTACAACTTGTAGAGCAATAAGGTGAAATAGGGCAGGAAAGCTAAATAAGAATGTTTCCTGGTGGTTGATTTCTCCCTTTTCAGTTATGCATGGTAACACAGTGTAAATCCCTAGTTCTTTTCCACTAATAACTTTGTTGCAGTGCTCACAGAAGTCAGTTCCATGATGTGTTACCTTTGTTTTGAACCTTATTACTTTCTCTCTTTCACTTTGCTCGTGTGGGCCAGGTACAGAAATTTTACTTTTACTAGTATAAGTGATTGGAAATTGGTCTATTCTCATAACAGACCAGAAATTTATCATAAAAAAACTGGTCTATACCCATAATCAAACAGAAGTGCAGCATACACAGACTGGTTTAAAAATGGTAGAACTTGTTCTAAGATTTGTACCCCCCCCCCCCC